TAATTGCCAATCAATTCTTGTTAATCATACAAGCTGGTTGACTTTTATATAGAAGCACCGGTATTAAACGAGAAACGAGTTTATAACGGTTTTAAGATATATATATACATTTATATAGCAACTTAATATTTATATAAAGCGAATCTTTGAGGACGCATTTAATTTGAAATTTACCACGCGCTGACAAACTTGATGACACAGACGGCCATCTGTAGATTATCGTTAGGGGTAGACTTATTAGGCGACAAGGACCAAGGACTTGGCAAGCCAAGCGGCAAGGACAAGTGGCACATGATGAAATTAGAGCAAAGAAAAAAAAAAAACCATACGCAGTCAACGTCAATATATTATACTGATCAAATGAACAAATTTTCTCGTCTCTTTTATACCCTGGCCAAAAGTAACACTAAATTTTTATCTTAAAGATTTTAAAATTTTCTACATTTTGGAATAAACATGTCCACTTGAAATGAGTACATATATTGCACTATAAAGTTCGGTATGGTAAAGAATTGTTCAAAATCTCATCCTTTTTCTAGTTCTTGAATTGTTTGGTTGTTTTCCAACACTCAAATGCTCCACTTACTTGGCAAAGTATATCCGCTGGCGATAAATTTCTTTGTTTTCGCAGCAAAGCAATAAAAAGCAAATTGAAGAAAAAGAAATGTAAAACTTAATTCATAAGAAGTTGATTTTGTTTATTTAAAGTTTGCTGTTGTTGAGCAACCATCGCAGCTTGAAATCGAATCACGACTGACTGACGATGCGGCTCGACACTTAGTGAATGACACGCACACACACACACACACACCCTTGATTGATTTATGTATGTATCATAAGTGTATGCACACACACACCCTCTCTTCATACTCTCTCTACTCACGCTCTCTCTGTCTCTCTCTCTCTCTTTCTCTTTCTCCCGCTCTCCCTTGTACTTAGGATGCGGAGTGCAGTTCATATCTCGCCTTTGTTTGCTTTTGTATTGCGTATGTCTTTAATTTTCTAAATGCCTTATAGGGTTTTCAACCACTAACACTATTTGCCGTATAGCTCTTTGTTTTCCCTCTGCCAGTGGAAATTTACCAGTTGACATTATAAATGACCCCATGGTCGTGTTGTGCGTGTGTGTGTGTGTGTGAACTCTAAAATGACACACTCCACCCATTTAACGTGCCATATTAAAAGTGGCAATAGATCTAAGAAATACATTTTTACTGTTATCATTGCGAAGCTAAATTTTCAGAAAATGTTTATTTGAGTATTAAAGCTACGATCTCAATCTTTTTTCTTTAAATACCAGAAACATATAGGAATGGGGTATATATCTACTTGGTTCTGCTGACAATCCAGTCCGTATGCAATATAAACTGTTTTATTAGTATTTGAATCAGCAGTAGAGAATTGGTGAAATTGAATTGAAACCAGAACAGATCTTTCTATAAGTTTCTACATTTAAGAGAATCTTAACTTTACATCTGGATTTGCCTTTAACCAGCTATGCTTGAGTTTTATATTTGCACTATATGTTGACATTTCAAGTGCATGCGAACGACGTTTTATACTTTGCTCATTTGGCACGTTTGATAAGAAGCAACAAAAAAAGTGTATTGTGCAAGTGCAAGTGTGTTTTTTTTTTAGTTTCTACTGTTCTACTGCTCGCCCGCATTGCGTTTAAAATTATGCAAATGTTAACGGTCATGCGATAAGCACCTGAAACAGCCATACAAACAAATTATAACGTACAAAGTTTTAATTCAAACAAGCTGCGTTGCAATTTCGTGTTTCGTGTGTCCTTCGGCCATGTTGCCAAATAAGTTGCAAGTTAAAAGCTGAAACGATTAATTCCGAAATTGCATGCATTGGAGAAAAGTAACAATTATAAATCATATTAAAAGTTACGTGTTTATCGCTTCTAAATTATAATTAATGATGACTTTATGTTGCAAAATGCAATATATGCAATTTTAAACCGATTCATGATAAAACCCTGTGATATGTAGAAACTTATTATTACCAGAACAAAACTTTTCCTATTTTTATTATGCAATGTTTAACTGGCGTCCAAGTGCGGAAAATATGATTTACTGCATACGCATTTACGTATTTAGGATGACGCAAGAGATTAGATAAGTTGAGGTCATAAAATACAACTAACGCTGATTATCTGTGCAGGTTATTTAATATCACGAGACAACTGTTAAAGTATATTATTAGCTAAAACTTGTCTGCGTTTCAGCAGTTCATTGACTGTCGCCTGACAGTGTATTGAACTTAATTAGTGCATGCCCCGCTGCGAGCGTAGCTGCAGGGTATACAATATACCCGACCTTATCTATCATCTCTGCACAATTTGTCTGTGCGGACTTAAAGCTATATTTAAATGTTATTAAAGTCTGTGCGCTTTTCACCTACAATCGTCATCATCATCATCAACATCATTATTATTATTAACAGCTCATTTGAATGCGTCTCACGCAGCAGCTGCGAACCGGTTTGGGGCTTATTTTTATTGATTTTTATTTTTATTTTCTGCTATAGGCATGCATATGTGTTATGCATGTACACGTGTGTGTGTGTGTGTGTGTGTGATAGCACGTTTGAGTGTATTCGTAGCATGTGTATTGTATTCACATTGCTATCAGCTGTTCGGCTCTTAACACTGACACACATTGCGAGTGCAGGCATTTATTGTGCTCTTTCAAATGGTATATTCAATTCGTTAGCAAGCATGTAACGCATGAGGGGAGGAAGGAGAGGAAGAAATGCTGAAATCCGCACTCAAAATAAGCGTACTTTGTCTTCTAACTTTTCATACCTATATTAAAGTTTCTTTTGTTAATAAAGTGTGCAACATCTTTTTGTTATGGAAAATATGCTAGTCGAAGGCGTTCGGATCGAAACACAATATCATATAGTCGCTCCGAGAACAACCTATTGCAAACTGACTCCTATGAAAAAACCTGAAACTCTTCTCAAAAATTTGGGATACAAGGGAGCTTAGTGTGGGCAACCTTCAAAACAGATCATTCTAGCTATACTCCAGCAGAGGATTATACTATATAATTTTGTTTATCTGAAATTTTTAACTTGCTCGTATATTTCACTACTTCCCTTAAGATACATGCTCTAGTTATTTTTTAGTGTTTTTTAAATTCCTCTTTTTTTTTTTTTTGGAAATGTATTAAATATTCGCGTAGTTCTTTCCCGTTTAAAATTACACAAAATCTTTACCGGTTTTCTGATCAGCTGTGCAGCTGGTTTTTGCTTTTACTGAATTCAGTCAGAACAATATTTATTTTCTGCTGGATGGATGGCTTGAAACAAATGCTAAAATAAAAACTTTAAGTGAAATTAATGGCACTAGCAAGACTTTTCAAGTTTCCGAGAAGCCGTGCTTCAATTAAAAGTTAACTTTACTATTCAACAAAGTTAACCTTAAAACATGCTGAATAATTGCCAGCTGTCAATGCGCGTATTACTTAAGATAAGAACTTGTTTTTTAGGTTAAGATCTAACGTTACTCGGAGCCAGTTTAGAATGTTTTTGGCTTCTGAGTGCATTACGCCATCCAAATGCAAAGACTTTGGCCAAGGACGGCGACAAACAGTGGCCATAAAATGGTTTTCGATTACATTAAATCAAATTTGCAGCTAGACAAAGACAAAATAAAAGGAACAAAAACAAAAACCAAAATACTATCCCGAAACCATCAAAGTGTCTGTAAGCAACCATCAGACATTTATGTACATACAGATCAACATACATAATTCCAGCCATCCATCAATACAACTATATATCCATCTGTATATATATATATGTATTTGTGTGACGAATGTGCCACTTGACTCTGAGTTGGGTCAAATCCGCCCCGTGGGGGTTGGTTTGCAGACGAAAACAATAAAACTCAAATGTTGGGCACAGGGAGGCACAACAAAATGGCGGCGCGTGTGTAAATGTGTGTGTGTGTGTGTGTGTGGGCTGAGCCGGTTTCCTTTTACTGAGTTCAGCTTATGCAAATAACTTGGCCCAAAAGCTGTGTATGCAGAAAATCCCAGTTTCATGGCAGACTGTTTGTCGCGGCCAACTTGGCGAATATTCTGTCAGCCAAGGCCATATTTTCATGCGGCACACTTTGGCGGTTTTATTAATTAATTCTGTACATAGATTAATTAATTAGAGATAAAAGGCCTTGCTGGTGGCAAGAACATAGCAAATCGAGCGTGAATTTCTCCTTGTAATATAAACATTCGCTGTAATTTATCTTCAGCTTGGGTACCTTTAATTATAGCCCATCCATATCTATAACTTATGCCTTATCAGCAATGCTCAATGGTTTTTTTTTTTTTTTTTATCAATTTTCACTCGTAAACGATGACGAGTATCGAGCTATTATTGCATAAATGCAATTCCATAGTCCATCCAAAAGTTAAAAACTTTTCCAATTTACGTCGCAGGAAAACAGATTTTTTTTAGAGCAAACGCGGCATTGACGTAAATTATTGGAAATAATTTGTTAATTTTTTTTATAGAATTTTCCACAGTACTTGACTAAAAATAGCTAACACATGATTCCAAAGACATTTCAGGCGACAGAACAATAACAAATGCGTCGCTCAAAAAGCATTAATCATGCGATGTGTCTATAATGTATTAATATACATATATACACAAACATACAAACTATATCTAGACAGCCGTATGAAACACATGTGTTTGTGCCAACCTCAATGAATATTTATATATGTATGTGTGCGTGTAAATTGGTGGAATAAATACTTTAAACAAGGTCAATGGGCCTTCGGATAATATTTGGGGCATTATGTATACCGAGAAAGTTCCACTAATGGACAGCTTCCTTGGGCGGATATCTCTTTTAGACAACTAATTCTTTAATTTTGTTAACAATCATCATCTTACAAGGGAATATCTGACGTAGATGTGCGCTTAAGCAAGCCTTCACTGTATAATAACATTAATACTTGAGTTTTAACTAAACTCACCTGTTCTCAAATGGAGTTCAAGTTGCTTCCACGTGATTTCCGTGTCCGTAAATTGTTTATTAGCTAAATTACAACCATTATAGACTGCTTTTTGTTGTTATTGTTCAAATCGTAAACTTATACAGTTTACATTTTAGGTCGAATGACAACGATTTCTTTTTATATGCAGTCTTAATTTAAACAAAATTTAAAGCACTTGTTTATTGCTCTTGATTATGTTAACAGTTCAGCACAGTGGGCTCCAAACGTTGAACACTGGGTATAAAATGTATTCAGCTAGTTTAAAGCTCAGTAGGGTCTGGTATGCGTTTCTTATTTTTTGTTGCTACCGTTTGTATACAAATTGCCAAACAATTCGGTAAACAGTTATTGTCAGTGTTGTGCGATGCGTTTCGTTATGGAAAAGTACAAAAAAGTTGTTTGGTCTATTTTGAATGGATTTACGCAGGCTGTGTGTCACGCATTAGCATTTAACCGTAATTTCGTGTTATGCTTTAAATCATTTTTCTTTGTGTTTCAATTTTTGTTTTGTAGCAGTTCCGACAACTCAACATACAGTTCTTGTGCGGGAGTTTCGATTTTTTTTTCTGCACAATGCGTGCATGCGGGAAGGGCACGCGGAAGGGTGGGGTAATGACAGCACCGCCCAGCAACGCAAGTTCACTAAGAAGTAGTATTTGGCGGTCGGAATAAACAAATGCACCCAGAAACACTCATACAGACACACGCATACAAGACACACGCAGTGTGTGAGGGAAAAACAGACGCTCGTAAACCGTGCAATTCACTTGGGTACGTCAAATTAGGCAGACTTTGAATGAGTTCATATAAATCAGTCGATTTTTATTTAGTTTATAACTTAGCACGTCTACACGAAAGCTAATTGGACATTAATCTTTACGAATTTTGTCACTTTGGCTATTACAATTTATTTCATCCGTACACACGACCGTTCGTTTCCACAACTATTAACTGTTATGAGCAAGACGATGTTAGCGCACTGCTGTGCTCAAATGTAGCTGTTAACGCGCTGTTGGGCTCATGTGAACTGTTAACTCTCTTACGTGTAGAGAGTGTTTGTCAATGTTACGGAAGCAGTGGAGCCTGTTAGTTTAACAGCTGACAAGCAGTGTGTAGACATGGACAGGCTATAAATAAGGAAATAAGGCAAGCGCGCGCAAATTTGAATAAAAACTTCTAAATCATATTGAATACATGGCTTATTTATTGAGAAATTATTTATAAATGTTTTATGGCACTTTATTCACAATTTGACAATATTCGCTTGTTTAATATACTCAGCATGTTTATGATCCGGCAATATACAGATGCCGATTATTTAACAATTTATTATGCTTATTTACGCTAACTATAGATACGTTAATTATAATTTACACATATTGATTTATGCATTAGCTCAAGCACACGCTAGGAACAGGAGTCACTATCAGCACCTTCCGCCTCGTCAGCTGTAAGAGATAAAGAGTGTTATAGTCATTCAACAAATTCCGCCAGAATTAATGCCCATGGCTTAGTTGACATCAATCACTTAACTTAACTTGATAACTTAAGGCTGGAGTGTGTCAATCAAAACCAATAGCGGCATTTCATTTCTATCAGTTCACTTACAAAGTACTTGTAGTCCAAACATTAAAGCAAAGCCCGCCAGAGCGGCTATATAGGCTCGCCAGCCCGCATGATTCTGCGTGAGAATCTCAAAGAATACCACATAAAGAAGCGTGCCCGAGGCAATGCCCTGGAGTATGCCCGAGGGCACGCTCGGCTGATTCGCATCCGCCTGCTGACTAATGCCAATGCCAATACCAATGCCAATGGGCGTGACAATCGAGAAAGTTATGAGATAGATAATGGCCAGCGAGGCGCGCGTGCGAGCCACCAGCAACTCCATGCCCACGCAGAAAGCCAGCACCAGTTTGTGGGCAGCGACAGCTCCAAACATGAACCACACAGTGCCCACGGTGCCCTCAAGGCCAATGGCCATGCCCTCGAAGAGCTCGTGCAGGGACAGGGCCAGTATAATGCCCAGGCCGCGCATGGAGGAACCACTGCTGTTCACTGGCATATGACTGTGCCCATGACCAGGCGCTGCATGCGGCAGCTCATGATCATAATGCTTGTGCTCCGGCATCGGATCCTGTGTGCTGGACTTCAAGGCGTCCTTCTTGCGTCTGGTGCTGCGCATCAGTACGCTGTGCCTAATGCTATGCCCACGCTCGAAGGCTTCGCTGGCCAGCGACTCCTTGCGGCTGAGCTTCTGCTGATGACGTCGCATAAACGAATGCATCACCTCGTCCAGAGCGTACATGAGAAAGAAGCCCGTGCAGAGCAGCATCTCAGGCAGGGCAAATGGCGTCGCCTCCAGAACGCCACAATGCTGCAGTAGCTCCACCACCTCAATCACCTCCGGCAGCATGTGCAGAAATGTGGTGCAGATCAATACGCCGCCGCCAAAGTAGATCAGGCAGCGCACCACTGTCGAGGCGCGCGTCTCCTCCGGATTCTGTTTGGTCCATTTCAGGCAGCGATCCAGCATGTACGGCAAACTGCCGCAAAGCACCGTAATCACAATCAGCAGCACCATCGCCACAATTTTGGCCACCAGCAGCGCATGCTGATCCACCGTTCCCATTCCCGAATCTCTCGCTATATTCACTTCCGACGGCGTTTGTATTCCGTACATCTTGGCAGCACCGAATGCAAGTCACAAGTGCAAACAATTTGCCAACGGTGCGACCACTTATACCCCTATCTGGTAGCCATAAACTATGGTGGTGCGCACTGACTGACAGCAGAAATTATGATCGCCTCTGGACTGACTTCCCAAGCGTTCGGCCGTCTGGTTCGGGACTTTGTTGCTAATTTAAGTAACATTGATTTTGATTGTTCGAAATGGTATCGAAATTTTAATTTGCTCCGATAAGAATGTCTTTATATATTATAATCTATGTAAGCCAGACTATGCACAGACATCCGCTACACTGAGAGAATTAAGTTTGCTGAAATAAATTAAATTAGGAGACATTTTCAGATTTTCCAACACTTTTTTAGTATTGTATAAAAATAATTAAAAATTTCGCTTTATCTTTTCTAAGAAATTTGATTGTTATATAAGCTTAAATTATAAGTAAGTTCTCTAATCAAAGCTTATTTCCATACTAAAAGCTTTTATGTGCTTTCAAAGCTGCTTTAAGCTTTTAAAACAATAATTTTACGCGGTGTTCTGGGCTAATAGCGTAACCTGTTCAAAGCTTTTTGCTTAATTGCACGCAAAAGCTTCTTAAAATAACGCTTGAAGCTTTCGTAGCTTCAATTTAACAGCTTTTCGTGTATCGTTATGTTGTAAAAGAACTGGTGTAGCTGCTGCATGCGGCTCAAACTTATGTTTATTTATTAATTGTTCCTCCAACAGAAGGGCATTCATATGCGGATTTTCCCGCAGCTTCGACGACTGCAAAAGAGCAAAGCTCAGGTTAAGTAGCCAATCTTTCACTCTTTCACTCACCTGCAATTTGCAAGCCAAACATAAGCAGAAAGCCGCCCAAGGAGCATAGAAATATTCGCCAGCCAGCGTGATTCTTGGCCACAATCTCAAAATAGACCACATAGAGCAGCGTGCCACAGGCGATGCCCTGCAGTATGCCCTCCGGAATGCTCGGCTGATTTGCGCTCGAGCCCTCGCTGACCGCAATGCCAATGCCGACGCCGATGGGCGTAACAATGGAGAAGACGCCCAGGTAAATGACAGCAATTAGCCAGCGTGTGTGGGCCATCATAATCTCCATGCCTATACAGAAGGCCAAGACTAGCTTGTGAGCCGCAATCGCACCGCACATAAACCAAACCGTATCCACGCTCTCCTCCAGCCCAATGGCCATGCCGCCAAAGAGCTCGTGCAGCGACAGAGCCACGATAATGCCCAGGCCACGCAGCCAATTGGGCTGCTCCGGATCGACTTGCTCCTGCTCTGAGCCCCGTTCGGGTGCCTCTTCTAGCGCCTGCTGCATGGCCTTTGCCTTTCGACGTTGTCGTCGGCCCACAATATAGTACATCAGCTCCTCGATTGCGTACATCAGAAAGAAACCAGTGCACATCAGCATCTCGGCCAAAGCAAAGGGCGTTGCCGCCAGCATGTGGCACTGTTGCAGGGCACTCACCACGCCGAGCACAGCCGGCAGCATGTGAATGAATGTGGTGGCAATTAGGACGCCGCCGCCAAAGTTGAGCAGGCACAGCACAGCCAGGAAATCCCGAGCATTGCTCTGCGTGCGTTGCGTCCACTTGAACCAGCGATCGAGCACATAGGGTATGAAGCAGAAGATTAATGTGACCAGCAGCAGGACCACAATAACTACAATTTTGGCCACCAGCAATTTGTGATCGTTCATGGCGCCAGCTGCAATAGAAATGGACTCCAATTGAAAAATTTCAACCAGCATTTGCTTTATATATGCCTTTCAACTAAGGCATATATGCTTACAAATATCAGGCTATTATTCTTTAAGTACTTGACTTATATCCTAAAGCTCTTAAGCATTTTTTAAAGCGGAAAATTTGCTGACACTACAGTAGAACCTCGGTGCTAAGAGATTGATTTGTAGAAACACAGATATTTTAAATAAATAACAGTCTTCTTTGGATAATACCAGTGTTATTAGAAGGAAACAAAGCAATTTATGGCTCGTTTATTTTGTTGTTAATAAAAATAAATTAAATAAACAAATGTTAAAATAGAATATTAATGGCAGGTTTGAACTGGCGACCTCTCCCTTGAGTCCGACGTTCAGTCCGACGCTTAGTCTACGACCCTAAAAGAATCTTCTTAGGAATTTATTATATATATTTATAATTTTTTATATTTAGATTAAAACCCAACATAAAATATTTTGTTTTAATATTTTTTACATTTTGTTATATGACAATTTTTGTTAGTGTTGTGTCACTGTAGTTCGGTAGATAATAACTTTTTCTGCTGGCTGCCAACCTGAAATTTCACCAGAGATAAGTAGTCGGGGACTTCGTAACTTTCACGTGGTAAACAACCGGCTGTTGAAAATTCAGACTGATAACTTCAAATTGCGGGAAAAAAGGCCTGCGGCATAGATAGCTCAGAGCTGATATCTCCCTGCTAAATTTGATATCACCTAGATTACAATGCCAATAACAACGTGAGCTAATTATTTATCGCATCATGAGTGTATTTAATAATATCATCCGATGATTCAAGGCTGTCAACGGGGGGCTGTCGCGCTAAAATTTTACTTCGCGCCTGGAAAAAACCCGAAAAGCCCCCTGTTTACCTCCAAAAATTTCAGACTGATAACTTTCGATGATTGTTAAAGGAACTATGTTTGAGTTAAATAAATCCAAATAAATATAGATGCTTATTCAAGAATTTAAATTAGTGTTTTTGTTTTTGTATTTATCCGTAATAGTTTACTGTAATTTTTATTCATGTTTTGCATTTATATTATATAATTATATTTGTAATTGTATTTAAATATAATTTTAAAAGTAATTACTATGACTTGAGTGTTGCCTTTAATTATTTATTGTTTTATTTATTTAAATGTTTAAGTACATAATTGTGAAGTGAAATATATGAAATATCGATATATTGATATATGGAAGCAGCCGGAAAATGTATATAAATATTTTGTAAAAATCAACGGATTTGGTTTGTTGTTGTTGTTGTCATTATTATCATGAAAATGATATATTATGTAATATTTGCAATGTTCTGTCACCAGGGACTCTCTCTCTCTCTCTCTCTCTCTCTCTCTCTCTCTCTTCCTCTCTCTCTGTGTCTCTGTCTGTCGCACAATACTTGGGGGCAGCATATTCGGCACTGTCGTTTTAAAGTCATTTCTTAAAGTCGTCTAATTTAGACGATTCCATGATGATAGTTCGTTATTTAATGTAATGCTTCATGATGATGATTGGGTGTGTGTGTGTTGTGCGTGCGTGCGTGTGTGTGTGTAGTGTCTTGTGTGTTTCGCTTCGTTTTTCTATTTAAGTTTTTCATTTGCTCTCTTCCTCTTCCTCTCACTCTCCCCCTCACTCTCCTTCTCGTTCTCTACACGCAGGCACGCCCTTGTAGTAGTTGCAATATCGTATGTTCTTCAATAAAATTTTGCCAACAGCATCCACAGTTGACCCACGGAGTAGGGCCACATCACGACTGTTTGGGATGCTGTACGGGGGGCGGTGGGGCGGGCTTGAAGCACTGCAGCAAGAAGGCGGTATAGATGACGAACGCCAGCGCCAGGGCTATCAGGGCGTACATGAATATGTTTAGTTCCGGCTGACGGAAGCGATTCTTGCGCAGCCATTCGAGCACCTCATCCTCCGAGAGCAAATCGCCTGTGCAACGAATACATACACACATTATTATACCTTATATTAAGCTAATAGCTACAGATACTAATGAAAACCTGCCTCTGTATATGCTGGGAAAACGGCGCCGGAAATAGACCATGGCTGGCAGCTTGGTAACGCCCCATTTTTTGGCATAACGCGAATCGGCCATTTTAACAAATGTTATATCCAAATTATCCGTTTCGCTGTCAATGTTCTCCAGTTTCTCCAGCGATGCAATGCTATCCGGCTGATTGTGTTCATCTGCCAGAGATTAAATATATATATTTGGGAATTTAAATTTAAATTTTATAATACAGATTTTATTTTTATATGCCCTGTACTTACAAAAGAACACGGATATAAATTCGTTTTCCTCGAGCAGCTTGTCAAGCATTTTGCGATTAACCTCTTCGATTTCGTTTTTAATTTCGAATACATCTTGTGATGTTAGCCAGGTAATAACCTTGTCATGCTGATGCATGTCGCCATCATAAAGCACAGGCACTTGTTTTCTAGAGATAATAAATAAATGAAATGTCATAGATTAAAATAAAATCATATTGCGATGGAAAAATCCAAATGTTGTATGGAAAGCTATGCTGTTTCTGAAGCTCAACATTAGTTAACCAGTTTTTAACTTGAATATAATCAATATATCCTGACCAATGTTTGAATCCGACAATCAGTCAAATGATATAGCTGCCATATAAAGGTCTGATCGAAAAAGTCCTCTTTGTATTAAAGTGAAATATGGATTTTTAAAAACTTTTATTACTTAACTACCATCGACTTTGGAGATTTATAAAACAGCCCTGTTCTTTTCCATTCTTCGTAAATGTAAATTTAATATTTATATTAAATATTTATAAGTATTTATACATTCTAAACTATTCTTTATATAATGTAGAAAATTCAATTATTGGAAAGAAAAAATATTGGAAAAGATTCTTATAAATACCTTCTACAAAACATTTGCTTTTGCTTTCAACAAAAATACCCTTTATTAGCATTCAACTTACCGGAAATACACCAGCGAGGGTATATTGACAACTTCATACTTTTTGGCCGCCTCCACGCTGGCAATTTTCACGAAATCAATGCCAAACATGTCAGCCTCACCATCAATTTCCTCGAGCTCCTCAAGTATCTCCTCGCACTCGGCACAATCATCGTCATCTAGAACGAAATGTTTTAGTATCCCAAAAAGTAGTGTATAGTACGACTGTCTGCTTACAGAAGAACACGACCAGCAAAGTGGACTCGGCCATGAGGCGATCCAACATGCGCTCGTTTACCTCCTCAATCTCATCGGCCAGCTCCCGATTGTCATCGTCTATCAACCACTCCAGGACGGACTGTTCGTTCTGTAGATCGCCCTCAAAGAGCAGGGGATTGCCATTGCTGTATAGGTTACATAATCCAAGAATGACTTTTATACTCTGCAACAATCAAGTACTTAAACCTACCGGAAGTAAACCAAGGCCGGGAAGGTCTTGATGGAATAACGTTTCGCCAGTTGAGGATCTTGTATTTTGACCATGTGTATGCCAAAGACGTCGCATTCATCGTCAATCAGCTCCAGACCCTCCAATATCTGATCACAGATATTGCAATTGATTTTGTCTGCGATAAGCAAAGTAACATATCATTAGAATATACTTTAGCTAATAAATTTTTGGTGTGTACTTTATAAGAATGTGAAGCGTAGACTGCGTAGCAGATAAGTTAGATAAGTTATATATAGAGGCGACGCAGCTAGTGGATAGAAAGAAAACGCCAAAACAAAAGGTATTCGCGCCCAAACTAAATTCTTTTTCAATTATTTATTTGCTAAAATTTAATTTTTGATTTGTTACAACAAATTCGCAACATTTTGGACAACATTTTAAGCAATAGACCCTGGTCAAGTGGGCGGGGCATTTAGTTTGGTCGTCAATACGTTTAAAAGCCGTGTTTAGTATAAGAGTTGTATAAGATTGGTTTAATAGATGTATAAGAGTCTTATAAGAGTTGTATAAGAGTTGCATAGGAGTTGTAAAAGAGCTGTATAAGAGTTGCATAGGAGTTGTATAATTGTTGTATAAGAGCTGTATAAGAGAACAGTTTTTGTGGTTTTTGTTTTAGGCAGAAATGTGTATCTTTGTTAGGAGCTCGAAAAACATGCGATCGATATTTATTTTGTTGGTTGTTGCGATTTGTAGACGGAAGGAATACGGAATACCTTGTTTTTGGATACGTTTTCTTTTACGTGAAATGTAGCTTTGTACGAATTGGCTGGATGAGTGTTTGGCGTTGGCGGTCAGGTTGCTTTCTTTAAGACTAGAGGGTGAGCAGAAACTTCGACAGTAAGCGGGTGGCTTGCCCCTTCGCTCAGTCGGCACTGAGGCGTTACAGATTTTGGGATATCGGTTTTTATTTTTTTGTATTTTTTATATTTTCGGATTGTTTGTGGTTGGTGTTGTGGTGCAGAGAGTTTGAGTTTTGTGTGGTGCGGTGGTGTTGGAGTTGCCAAGGTATATAATTGATATTGTGTGACATTATGAAAAGTTGTTTTCTCGTTCTTTTTCTTTTGTGTAATCTGATTTTGTACAACTTACAGAAGTAAACCGCCAGATATTGGGTTTCCTCTACCATGGTTTCCAGCATCTGACGTGTGATTAGCTCAATGCGATCCTCCGTCTTTTGAGTGATTAGCCACTGAAGTACTTCCTCCTCCTCGCTGAGCTCACCTGGCAGTAGAAAAATAAGATTTTAGAACGTGTACAATTGTTCCCAACTAATCGAGAGGGAAAACCATCTACAAAAATCCAAACCTCGTGAAAATCTGATGAGATTTGACCCAGTTATGGGGTTGGGAAATTTTGGCCAATGTCTATATACGAAACTTGGGGTAAGATTTTGACATGAATATTGACCAAAAAATATGTATTTAGATTTGAATGCCAGATTGATTTAGAGGGCGAACCATCAACAAAAATCCAAACCTCGTGAAAATCTGATGAGATTTGACCCAGTTATGGGGTTGGGA